GAGAGAGACACATCGACTGGTTGCCTCCCGTAAGACTTCGACCAGGGCTGGGGACGAACCGCAACCCAGGTACATGCCCTCAGCTGGAATCGAACCTGAGACTCTGGTCTGTGGGCTGATGTTCTAACTGTTTAGCCAAACCGACCAGGGCCATCAGCACCATTTTAAAGATCAGGAAATGGAAGTAGAGCTGGGATAACCGACTTGAACAATATCGTACAGCTTGCAAGGGGCACAGCTGGGATTCGAGCCTGGGGTTGCATGACTCCAAGGTACATGCTTTCACTCCTTGCACTGTGCTGCCTTTCATTCTTTACCATGTTTATCATCTATGTATCCAACTTTAAATACTCCCCCTCTGAAGGGTCTTAAGGATGGAGGTGGATGTCAGCAATATTTTTTGTAATTTATTATCCATGCTGACAAAATATGATAGCGCCTCTTCGTTGAGCATCTTCTTGTCTTCTCAGTCACACTGGCACTTTGCCCAGTTTAGTTCTGTCACCACTGTAGAACCCAGGATCAGGAATGTGGCTCAGCCTTGATAGAGCCTAGAAGCAGAATCTGGAAGGTTTTCAGAAACCCAAACAGTTCCCTCTTCCCTAAGTGTCATGCACAGCTGCTTCATGATTCTTCTTCAGAGCAGTGTTGTGGCCCTTCCTGTGACTATGAAAAATACAACCACTCCACAGCCCTCAGGTCCACTTCCTGGAGATGCCAGCCCCCATTCACAACGCTGTGATGAGGATTTCACCAGTGTTAACTCATTTTATCCTCAGAACAACCCTATAAAGTAGGTACTTCTACTGTCATCAATCACCATTATCCTATTTTACAAATAAGGAAATTGAGGTCCAGAAGAGTTCATACAGATTTTCTAGCTCATAAAGGGAAGGTTCAGGATTCAAACCAGACAGTCTGACTCCAAGGGTTTTACTCTCAGGTCATAACCCTCTAAATCGCAGGCCCAGATTTCCAGGGCGAAGAACCTAATAGACTCAGTATGTGGCAAGAATAGCCTTTGGTGTCCTATGAACTATACCAGGCAGCTGAGGTTATTAGCAAAATATGGCAGCTGCAGACGAGGAGCCATGGGCTGGGGTGTGGGAGAGAGGAAACAATAGTTCTCAGAAAAGGGAAAGATTGCATAAAAAGCATTCATTCATAAAGGTGTCACAACATCCTCTGTGGTAGGAGTTCAGATTCCACATTTACTCGTGAACTGATACGAGACTGGGGAAGTTGAACTACATATTCCAGGCTATGAATAAGTGAGACAAGATTCAAACACAGCCTATCTAATCCCTAAACCTTACTTTATCATAACACACTTTCAGAGGAGGATCACCGGGACTGTTGAGAGAAGGCATTAGGTGGCCAGTTGTATTTTCCAAAAGGGGCTACAACAAATAGTTCCCACCCCACAGGACCTTCCTGGAATAATTAACTTTGACATTTTCTCCAATGAGATAAGGGGAACATAGTCATCCCCCTGGGTTTGGAAGGACCTGCGTGGCTATGGCGGAAGTAACACTCCAGGATTTCTAAGGCAGTCATAAAAGATGACATGGCTTGCTCTGGTCCTCTTGAAATGCTCTCTCTTAGAACCTAGCCACCAAGCTGTGAGGAAGCCCATGTCTACCCGTGCAGAAAGACCATATGGAGAGACCTTGAACCTACCTAGAGAAAGAGAAATGCCTGGCCTGCTCGAGCTGTTCCAGCCCCTAGCTACAATCTGACTGCAACCTCATAATGGAACCAGAGCAGGAACTGCTCAGATGAACGCTTCTCAAATTGTTTTAAGCTGCTAAGTTTTGGGAGGATGTGTTCTACAACTGTAACCAGACAAGCATATTCTGAGGAACAGATCTCTTCAGAAAGACATGAGAACCATCTTCAAGGATCTGAGGGCTGTCATGTCTAAGAGGAGTTTGACTTGGCGTGTGAAGCTCTAGGAGATAGCACTAATATCAATATTTGGGGATATTCCAGAGAGGTAATTCAATTATTTGTGGAGATATTTTCTAACTGTAGAACTTTAAAACAGTCATGCAACAATGAGCACTCTGCTACCAGACATACTCAAGCAGCGGGACAACCACTCTTGGGGATATTGCAGAAGGGTCCAGAAACCCCAAAGGTACTTTTCAACTCTAAAAAAAATATGCTTTCAAATGAGTTAAGGCTAAAACTGTTTTTGAAGAAGAAACATTTAGTAAACCTTTCTTAGAAGAGGTAAGGTCTAATCTGAGCTTTTTAAGTTGGAAAGGGTTGGGAAAGGTGAAAAGCAGGAGGGACCACTCAGCAAAGAACCAATGGAAACTATTTAGCCAGCAACACCAAATTAACCATACCCCTCTTACCTTAAGACCTCTTTCCTCACCCATTTATGGTGTGTTATGGGCCACGATCCTCCCAGACCCTTTCCCAGTCACCTGCAACCCCCCTGGCTCCCTCAGTGCTCAGTCCCATTGGTTGTTAAGTCATTCCACTCTTATCTCCACAGAAAGCCCTGCATCTGTTCCTTGTGTTCCACTTGCGCTTTGTTCGTGCCACCATCACCTCTCATCTGCAACATTCCTCTGCAGTCTTTTACGAAATCATTCCTCAGATTGCTCTGAACGTGTCAGACCTTGTCTTCTAAACCCAAAACCTTCAATCAGTTACCACTGCCTCTAGAATAAAGTTGACATTTCTTTGGTATTCAAGGCTTTCATAATATGGCAGAGAATGAAAGGAAGGAGAGCTGAAAAAAGATGGGTCAGGGGACAGGTAGAGACATTAATTCCTACCTTAGTTTTTTAGGACTGCTTTAACAAATTACCATAAACCGTATGGCCTACTATAACAGAAATTTATTTTCTCACAGTTCTGGATGCTGGAAGTCCAAAATCAAGGGCTATGCTCCCCCGTGAAGGCTCTAGGGAAGACTCGGTCTTTGCCTCTTTTTGGTTTGTCAGAGCTCCTGGTAATTCGTGGCACTCCTTGGTTTGTGGTTGCATCACTCCAATCTCTGCCTCCATCTTTACATGGCCTTCTTCCCTATATGTGTGGGTTCAAATCTCCCTCTCCTTTTTCTTAGAAAGATACCAGTCACTGGATTTAATGCCCATCCTGACCCAGTATGATCTCATTTTAACTTGATTACACCTGCAAAGTCCCTATTTCCAAATAAGGTCCTATTCATGGGTGCTGGGGGTTAAGACTTGAAGGTATCTCTTGGAGACACAATTCCACCCTCTATAATTTACATTGGTGGGAATTGCAGAACAAGGCTTAACATAGGGATGGAACCTTGCTTGTGAAAAAGTTCTGGATGAAATGAAGAATTTCAGGAGCAAGGGAGGTAATACTAATAGGATAAGCCAGATTATCAGGAGGGCTTCTTGAACAATGGAATGGAGCACATGATCAAACGATAAAATTTTATTCATGAAAAATCAATCTGACAGCTGGATACATAAAAAATAACAGAAGTTCAGTTAAGACGATGTCACAGTAGTCCAAAGATAAGGAAACAGGCATAGACATATTGTTAGCCCCAGGAGTCTGTTAATATTGCCTCTTCTGTTCAGGAATATATCCCAAGAGCCTAGAATAGTGCTTGTCACACCATAGGTCTCTGTGCACATTTGTTGAATAGATGAATGGATGAATGGATGGATGAAGTAGCTTCACGTTAGAAAAGGAGAGGAAGGAAAGGTGCCACAGGCATTCAGAGGTGGACTGAATTAGCTGGCCCTGGCACAACACAGGGGTGGAGAAGCAGCATCAGCTGAACATCACTTAAAGTCAAGCCCATAGCAGGCACCTGTTCCAGACAGAACTGAAGCTCTCATAGCACCTGCACAGTGTGGCATTCCGACCCCATGCAATATCTACCATAGAGCGCATCTGGAGCACAGGAAGCATAACTTTATTCATGTTTGAGTGTGTCCTCCACAGCACAGGTTGCACAATAGGCCCCCAATACAACTTTCAATGAACTTATGAATAAATTTCCACATTGACGCAAAATCGAAAGATTTCCTCAGATCTGAACTCTGGATTTTACACTTCTGTACGCTTCAAAGTCCCTGCCTGGCACACAGGACCCCGAAACCCTTGTTGAACCAAACAGAATAAATCTGATTCACCCAGTTCCGCCCTGGCAGCAGGTCTGCATTTGGCTGGACGACAGAATCACCGCTATTAAATTCTTATGTAAGAGTTAATGACCCTCCCAGCCCACTTGACATCCCTCCCACGACAAGAGAAGTGGAAGGGAAGCGAAAGGAGCGAGAGCACTATTTACACACACATACTCTTTCGGTGGTAGATGCACAGATTAATTTCTAGCCTCGGTTCCACACTAGGATCTTAAAACGCCGCTGCAGGCACCGCGCGGGGCGGGCGGAGGGGCCGGCTGCCGGCGTTTCGGTTCAGGCGCATTTAGTTCCGTGGGTAAGGCCTGCCCACCCGGCACGCCCCAGGCTCCGGGTCTGCGGGTGACAGCGGCCCCAGAAGGTGACTCAGGTCCACGGCGATCCCCGGGGGTCCCCACAGGCACCCGTGCAAGCTTGGCCCGGGAGCCCCGCCCGGGGACAGCAGGCGTCCCGCCCCGGATCCCTGCGGTCCCGAGCCCTTTCCCGCCGGGGCCCCGCGGGCTCCGGAGGACGCCGTGCGCGCGGCTGAGTCAGGCCGCCCCGAGCCTCGGGGCCCCGGCGGGCGGGCGGGGCGGCGAGGATGGCGGTGCGGCCGGGCCCCGGGCGGCAGCGAACGGCCGCGGCGCTGCGTGCTCGGTTGGGCCCGCGCGGCTAGAGCGGCGCCTGGGCCCGCGCGGCCTCCTCCCCGCCCGCCGCGCCCCGCCCCGCCCCGCGCCCGCCCCTCCCCGGGCCGCGGCCGTGCCCCGCGTTGCGCTCCCCCGGGATGGCCCGCGCGCCTCGGCGCTGCCTCACGGAGCTCACGGCGGAGCGGTGGCGGCCGCGCTCGGGGGGCGCGCGGCGGCGGCGGCGGCGCGGCGCGTGAGGGGCCGCCTCCGGCCGAGCGGGCGCCGCCAACATGTCGGATACCAAGGTAAAAGTTGCTGTCCGGGTCCGGCCCATGAACCGACGAGGTGAGGAGCTTTCCGCTTGTTTCTATCAGGGGTCTGGCCGAGGGCGGGGGCAACTTTGGAAACTGCGGGGCCGCGGGGTTGGGCGGCGAGCGCGCAGCCGAGGCCGGAGAGCCGGGCGGAGGCGGCGCCCGCACCGGCCGTGCAGACCCGGGCGCCGGGTGTCCGGCTCGGCCGCCTCCCCGGAGAGCCCGCGCCGGCGGGATGCTCGACTTTGCAACGTTCGTGTTCCCTTTGCTTTCAGAACTGGAACTGAACACCAAGTGCGTGGTGGAGATGGAAGGGAATCAAACGGTTCTGCACCCTCCTCCTTCCAATACCAAACAGGGAGAAAGGTAACGCGGGAGCACAGAGGGCGGGAGGAGGACCCGACCCGTGGTCTCCAAGTTTGAGCCAGGAAAATGGGAGTGCTCTTTCCTATTGTTAGGAGGCTCGGCTTCAAGTTTGTCGCACGCTCCTGTCTGAAGCTGTTACAAGTCCAAGTTCCTCTCCTTCCTCTGCCCACCCCCGCGAGCAGCATCAGGCCGGGCACCCTGGCCAGAGCTTAGCACCAGTCAGTTGTGTCCCTGGCAGGCCCCAAGGCACCCAGACATAGAGGTGCCGGATGGGTGGGACCCTAAAGATGATTAGTCTAATAGCCACATTTTACAGATAAGAAAACTGAGGCCTGAGTTGGCAAGTGACCGCCCCAAGACCTTGTTGTTCACGGATCCCAGTGCCCCAGGTTCTTTACACCGCTGCACCGTCTGCTTCATTTGACAGACTTGTTTGGAGACTTGTGTGTAAAACGAGAGAGGACCCGATAATAAAGCAAAACAGTCTAAGATGCAGGCTGAGGCCTGAACCATTTAAAATCTTTGTTGTTGGTGGTGGTGGTGCTGGATTGAGATAATGCCTGAATGTAATACTCCAAGTTTGATTTTCAAGGGAACAAAAGTAGTGTCCGAGCTGTGTAGACACTGGAGGGATGCTTAAAAGGGGGCTGCGTTTACTAGATGGCAACATATTTGCATTTGAAAAGTTGTAACTGCTGGATCCTTATTAATTCTGCTCTATTCCACCCAGCAGTATGGGAAAATGACCTAAAATAATTTGAATATTTGACATTTTTCTGGTTAGCCCCTGAGAAGAACACAATTGGAATTTATTCAATAGAGAAATGCACTGGCTTATAAAATATAGGAAAGAAAAAAAAAGGAGATTTGGCAAAATTAATTCCTCTGGGACATGAGTATAAGTTTGTGTTTCTAGAAATCACCTGTTGACTGATGTGCTACAATTTAGTGATTTTTGCTCTAGAAGATTTTCACTGGAGACTCTGAAGTAGCGTTTGTTACTTTATTGCTAAAGGAAGCAACTGCCTCTATAATCATGTGGTGTTCAGGCACAGTTTTGGGGGAATTAATGATCAGAATATAAGAATGGTGTTTTGTTTTTTTGTGTTTTGTTGTTCTTTTTGTACCAAGGCTGGCAATTTTTATTCAGTTTGCAAACATTTTTCCAACTAGATTGTTGTGATAGTAATTAGCTAGGTCATATTTAAAATGTGTTAAATATTTTTCAATAATGGATGTATCCTTGGGTAAGGCTTTTAGATACATTTTAAATACATGTATATATTTTAGATACATGTATAGTAGTGTAGTTTTATATATCATGGTTATTAAATAAACTCATTAAATATGTTAAAATATCTACAGGTTAAATTAGGTCAACAACTCCACCCCCCCACCCCCCCCACACACACACACAATACAACACAACTGGATATTTTTATATTGTTCAAGAAAAAAATTCTGCTGGGTCAGATTCTTCAAAGCAGCCGCAGAAACAGGTAGAATATTCTAACTCCTGTTATGTAGCTGCTGCTTCTCTTTTCCTTGTTGGTTTAGCACCTGTTCCTTGTCACTCTTAACCATAAGGAATGCTACTGTTAGCTACTATTTAATGAAATGAAGCTTGTCATTTGTGGGGAGAAATATTTATTTGTGGAATTTGTATAGAAATTATAACAGTAGGCAATTGATTAGAAATGCTAAATTATCAGTTGATCATTTTTAGGGCTTCAGTAGACACTGCCATTACTAATCAAGATCTTTTAAGTAAAAATTTGTAGGATGCTTTTGGGATTTACCCATATGCTTGCTTATTGAAATAGCCCCTTCTCTGAAGCTACAAGAATAGCATTGAAATATGGTTGTTCTCTTGTTCTGTGCTTCTGACAGATCTGATTCTTTGAGTGGTAGATCGGCTCTTTCTCTGGGGTTCTGCATGAGTACCATTTGGTTTATAGACCAACTGAGAGGGTTCAGTACAACAGTGTTGCTTGTAGGTTAGGATTACTGTATTGCAAGGATGGAGACACCAATTGCATTTTGATTTTTCATTATGCAGCTTGGCTTCATGTTTCTCCACCAGGTTTTCCCTTAAAGCAACAGTGCATTTAAAAATAGAAACAGTTCCTCCCTTGGGCTCTGTGTTGATTAATTATGACAGTGCTTCATGTTATGTTTACAATTTATTTCTGTCATTTGTTTTGGGATAGATCTCAGGGAAAGGCAAGAATATTATTTTTCTTACCTAGAAATCCAAGGTTTGAAGTATAAGAAGTTCTTAAATTAATATTGGCAAACATGTATCAAATTGAGAAGTACCATATTCCTGAAAATTGTAAGAAATTATTAATGTGCTAATCATGAAAAGAAATTTTAAGTTACTGGGTGAAAGTTTTCAGTCCTGCCAGTAAAACAAGTGAGAGTGCATTGATTTCCAGGGGAAGAAAGAGACAGCCTTAGCTTTTATAATTTTCCCCCTTTATGGAATCAAAGCCAAGACTACATGGTGAGGACTAAAAGATCACAGGGCTTCTGAGGTGAAAGATGTTTGTTTTGGTCCTGATAGTCAAAAATACACTGCAGAGGTCCAGGTTAATAGTTGATGTGTATACCATTACTGTTCTGAAACATTAAGACATGAATTTGTTTATTAAAATACAGTTATATTACTATTCAGGAGACATTTATGAAGTTTAAATCATATGGGCATCATACTTGGCACAGGAGATCCAAAGATAACTGTAGACCCAGTAACGATGGGCCTGTGTCAGAGGATCTCACCTTTGAGAGATATGGGAAAAGGGAGAGAAAATTGTTATAATACGATGTGGTAGATTGTGTAGACAATACTTTTGCCACCGCATGTACTATATTATATGGATATTACCTATTTCCTCTTCTGTCTCTGAGGCTGTGAGCTCCCTGAAGGCAAGTATCTCATCCTACTTACCTTTGTGTCCCATGCTCCAGAGCAGCACCTGGTTCAAAGCCAGGCACTCAGCATATGTCTGTATCAGTTAGGTTCCCAGTGTGGAGGAGCACCGAGGAAGGGCTGTGGAAGTGAGAGAAGGTGACATTTATACTGGCCACGTGGGTGCTAATAGTGTAGGCTCACTTTCGCAAGAACGGGAGAAAGTCTTTGTCAAAGAAAGTGAAAGCATACCTGCCAGAAATTACTTCTGGGTGATTGTGCATGCACATGTGTACATACGCACACACACTTACTTCTGGGTGATTATACAAGCACACGTGTACACACACACTTCTGGGTGATTGTGCATGCACACATGTGCATACACACACACTTCTGGGTGATTGTGCATGTACACATGTGCACACACACTCCTGGGTGATTGTGCATGCACACGTGTGCACACACACTCTGGGTGATTGTGCATGCACATGTGTGCACACACACTTCTGGGTGATTGTGCATGCACACGTGTACACACACATGCACAAGCTGTGTTGAGTAGGGGAAATAGAGTGAGAACCCTTAATTTGCTAAAATGGATAATAGTTAAAAAATCAAATAGAAAAGAATATGATGAAAAGTCTTCCTTTCACCCCTGCTGTCACTCCTACTCTTCCCATCCCCTCACCTCTCAAAAAAGAGAGAACCACAGTCATTCATTTCTCATACACGCTTGCATACTTACATATTGTTTGTATGTACTTTAACAAATATCTTTTCTGTCTTTAAATACCAGTATATTAAGATTCATTCTTTTTTACATCCAGTGTGAATGGTGGTGGTGGTTTTAAAAACATAGATGGGTGGCTTATGAGTCTGATCTTTAAAATTTTGGGGAAGTGAAGAGTTACCATGTAGAGAGTATAAATGGAACTTGCTTTCTACAGAATTTTTTATTCTTGATTATTTTATGTGAGTTAATGGTAGGGTAAGCATCCAAAACAATGTATATACAACCTGGCTTAGTTAAAAGAAAAAATGAGCTAAATTTGGGCTTTTAGTAAAAGAGCATCACAGTTTTAACTTCTTGCCTGTTCTCTATACTGCAAAGTGTGCAGCATACCTTGTAAAGTGTGTGAGGGAGGGTCAGTGGAAGAAAGCTACGTCTTGATCAACTGCATACATATTTTTTAGTTTATACATTATATGTTGCAAGTTTTTATTTCCAAACTGGCTTCCTCTGCCACTCCAAAATGCTTCTGGGTGGGTCCTTCTGCTCAAGTGTCTCTATAGATCAGAAACTTAAACATTAGTGAAAGTCATACAAAATTTAAAAGATCATCTAAGAAGCATAATATTCCATATCGTAAAATTATTTGGATGACTTTGAATTCTGTTCTGTTTTCCGTGTTGTTACTCATTTCTCTGGCTCCAGAATTACAGAGCTTATTGTAAGAAAACAGAGAGTGTTTAGGTTTTACTGATGTAGAAGTGAACATTGTTCATGCATGATATCAGTGGGATTTTAAAGGGCATTATAATGGAGTATTTTTATTAGCTGTCAACATGTTTTATTTCTTTGTTTTAAAATAAAGGTAGGCCCTGGCCAGTGTGGCTTAGTTGGTTGGGCGTTGTCCCGTGCACCAGGAGGTTACCAGTTTGATTCCTAGTCAGGGCACATATCTGGGTTGTGGGTTCGACTGCAGGTGGGGGGCCTGCAGAAGGCAGCCAATCAATGTTTCTTACATCAATGTTTCTCTCTCTCCTTCTCTAAAAATCAATACATTATTATATGTAAGCATAAGAACTGAAGGCCATAAAATAAAAGTAGGTTGAAATCTCTTACTTTTAAAAACAAGACTAAAAGTGATTATAATGCAGTGTAGATTAATGATTCAAAGTTATTTTGTTCATAGTCTCCAGTTAAAAATATATTTTACATTATGAATTGTGTTTATGTGTGTGTGAAGGCTCATGAAAAACTTTGCAAAATGCAGTGTCAGTTATTTTCCATCCCCTCTGTTCTAATTCATTTTAGAAATGGTGATTGTGACTTACTAAATTAATTTCACAATCCATTAATAGG